TTTAATTTTCTAAGGATTGTTTTATGTCCAATTACATAGTCGATTTTAGAGTATATGCCATGTTGTGAAAAGAAGAATGCATATTTTGTTGTTTTGGGGTGGGGAGTTCTGTAGAGGTCTATCAGAACCATTTGGTCCAATGTTGAGTTCAGATCCTGAATGTCTTTGTTAATTTTCTGCCTCAATGATCTGTTTAATACTGTTAGTGGAGTGTTGAGGTCTCCTACTATTATTGTGTAGAAGTCTATGTCTCTTTGTAGGTCTCTAAGAATTTGCTTTCTGAATCTGGGTACTCCTGTGTTAGGTGCATATGTATTTAGGATAGTTAGGTCTTCTTGTTGAATTGAACCCTTTACCATTAGGTAATACCCTTCTTTGTCTTTTTTGATCTTTGTTGGCTTAAAGCCTGTTTTGTCTGAAATTAGGATTACAATTCTTGCTTATTTCTGTTTTGCATTTGCTTAGTAAATTTTCCTCTATTTCTTTATTTTGAGTCTATGGGTGTCATTACGTGTGAGATGTGTCTCTTGAAGACAGTACACCATTGGGTCTAGCTTTCTTATCCTTAGCTGAAATTTAATTCACTTATTTTTAGGCTAAGAATTTTTTCTGACTGTTGCTTAAATGCATCCTCAAAATTCTGCTATATTCTTTTGTTGCATCAGTGCAGGGTATCTATATAACTTATTAGCATTCTTTTAAAAATTCTATAATTTTGTTTGCATATCCCTTCTATTGAAGAGTTGTTTAGTATTTTTAAATTCTAGATAAAATAATCTTTTTCTTACTTTATTAATATTTGTAGTGTTTTTACATTGTAATCAGAGAGCGTTCTTTATAATATTTCTATAATTTATTGACATTTTCTTTGTTACTTAACATGTCCTAAATTATGATTAATTTTCTGAATTCCCCATGCCCACTTGAGAAGATATGTTCTCTATTACCAGGTTTGATATATATCCATAAGCTCTACATTAGTAATTATGTTATTTAGGTTGTCTTATATCCTTACTTATGATGCCTATTTAATTTATCTTTTTTTTTTTTTTTTTTTTTTTTAAAGCAGAGTCTCGCTCTGTTGCCCAGACTGGAGTGCAATGGTGCAATCTTGGCTCACTGCAACCTCCGAGCCATTTTGTTGGGGTTACAGGCATGCACAACCACCCCCAGTTAATTTTTGTATTTTTAGTAGAGATGGGGTTTTGCCATATTGGCTAGGCTGATCTTGAACTCCTAACTTCTTGTGATCCCCCTGCCTCCACCTTTCAAAGTGATGGGATTACAGGTATGAGCCTCGATGCCTGGCCTCCATTTATCTTATACTGAGAGCAACTCATTGAATGTTTTTTATTATTATTTATGTGTTTCCATTTATGTGTCCTTACATTTCTGAAATTTTGGCTTCAAAATATGTTGCTGTGTTATTTGGTGCATAGACAACTGTGACTATTATAACTTCATTGTGAACTGTGGCACTTATCATTAAAATGGGACCTTTCATTTATTTGCACAGCAAGCATTATCTCCTGAGAAGATGCAGGTGAATGAGGGGAGTGAGACTCAGTGCTGATCTTTGGATGTGAAGTCTATTAGTGAAGAATCACTACCCGTATATTCCCTTAGATGTGGTAGTAGCATAGCTTTTTCATATTAAGTGTCCTGAAAACGTGGCCTGAAGGTTTCAGCAAACATATCTTACAACATGAGGAGGACTCTAATCAGACAGGGGATACAAGTATAGAATCAATGACAACACATACTCAGTTTTAGTTCTTAGGAGGATTTTGGTTTGTTTGTTTGTTTGTTTTTTAGCTTGAAGATTTTCTTTTAATATGATTTTTGTGTTTTTTTTTTTGTAATTGATCTACATTGTTAACTGATTGAGACTCCACTGTGATTCTCTCATTTACTTAAAAACTTTGCAGGGATGCCTGTAATTTTTAGTGTTATATGTCATGAAAAAAAGTGGTATATTGGTTGATGTAAGGAAGGACCAGAAATTATTTCAACTATTCCAAATACTGAATGAAAAAATAATAATTGGTTTATGCTGTTTTAAAAATAACAAGTACTGATAAGTCTGCCATGACATTTAACCTTAAAAATTACTTTAAATATATTATTTTATTTGTATAAAGGAAATACAAATGACTGATAAATACCAAAAAGATTCCAAAGCAGCTTAACCTAAAATGCTCAAAGAGCTCCTGACTTGCAATGCTGAAATCTCAATGTTTTTATAGTTACTGGGCTAACTAATGTGATTATTGAGTTTACAGATTTAAAAACAGTCACTGAAAAGTTAAAGCATCTACTGTTTTTATGAATCCAAACTTATGTTGCCTCAGAAATCCCTGGGTAGTAACACCAAAGTAAAGAGGCCAGTTTGGACATTGGTGAGTCACAATGATTAGAGAAAAGGGATCAGTTTGCAAACAGTCATAAAAAGAAACGGTCATTGAAATAATTACTTATTAGCATATTTACTCTCCAAAAAGTAATTTTATGTGAGTTGAATGTTTCAGCTTTACCTTACTTACGGCCAGATTTAATATCATGTGGCTTTCTATTTACTACAGATATGTGGAACTGTAACCAAATATATTATTCTCTAAAACTTTCTCTTGTTGATTGCAAAATACAGATGTATAAACACAACCCATAAAAAACTGACCTTATTTGTCTCATTTAATTTGTCTACTTTGTCTGACATCAGTATCACTATACCTGCTTTCTAATTTTTTCCATTTGCTGCCTTTTGTTTTTCTTTTCTTTTTTTTTTTTTTTTTTTGAGACGTAGTCTTGCTCTATCGCCCAGGCTGGAGTACAGTGGCAGCACAATCTAGACTCACTGCGAGCTCAGCCTCCCGGGTTCAAGCAATTCTCCTGCCTCAGCCTCCAGAGTAGTTGGGATTACAGGCATGCACCACCACGCCTGGCTAACTTTTGTATTTTTAGTAGAGACGGGGTTTCACCGTGTTAGCCAGGATGGTCTCAGTCTCCTGACCTAGTGATCCGCCAGCCTTGGCCTCCCAAAGTGTTGGGATTACAGGCGTGAGCCGCTGCACCCAGCCCACTCGGCATTTTTTTCCAAATTATTTTGTTTCCAAATTATTTTGTTTTAGGTTTTTTAAAAATAATCGGTATATAGTTGAACCTCATATTTTCAGTCATGATGGAAATATTTTTAATAGGTGAATTAAGTCTATTCACATTTTTTAATAAGACTAATATGTTTGGTGTAAACTTTGCATTATTTTTACATTGTCAAAACTTACAACACATGCTATATTGAATATATTATATAATATCTTATTCTTTCACTCTTGTTTCCTCTTTTGTCTTATATCTATAATTAAAATAGATTTAAAATTTGCCACTGATAAAGTTTCCTCATTAATTTCTTGTTGGGTGAATTTCATCTTCAGTAGGTTTCTCCAAAGGGTACATGGGTACAAAATTTTCTGAGCTCCTCCAAGTTTAAAATTGTTTTATTCTATAGCTTTGATACTTAACAGGTATTTTGTTTTGGGGGATTTTTGTTTAGTTTTGTTTTGGTTGCTTTATTCACCAGCTCTAGAAAACAAGAAACGGATGACAACATTTAGAGAATTTTTTTTTTCTGATAGTGGTTTTGGGTGTCAGTTTTAGTCTGAATACTATCTCTCTTATTCAGTCTTTTGAAATAGTAAATTAGACACGCACTGGATGAACATTTGGCCAGATAACAAATGGGAAAATAGTGTTTTCCCAAAATTACATTTGCCTAAAATAAAATATGAAGTCAAATATCATCATCATGAAATAAAATAAAAGCATACAAAAATTATTCTGAAATTTTGTTTAAAAGTTTAATTATAATTATGAATGTTGCTGTTGAAATTTCTAAGTTAAATGTTTAAAGTTTGAATTACAGTGCAAAAATAGTATTTTCTCAGAATAGTGAGCTATTTTATTGCTCTTGCAGTCATTATCTGAGCATTTGTGATATTAAGTAGAACTTTTTCATTTATGATCAGTGGGGAAATAAGACACTTTTGAAGTACTGAATTTTTTTCTAACATTCTTCCTTTATTCGCATTTAATATTCTTTATTTTGTCAATATGGAATGTATAAAGGATGTTGTTCTTTTCTGCTTAATACACCTTGAGATGACCAAGTTAACATTGTGCTTTTAACCTGCTCTCATAGCATAGAAAAAATTAATAAATTACATATTTTTCTTTAGTGAATCATGATCTACATGGGATTAAATAACTAAATATTAAATATAGTGTTTAAAGGTTATTTTGTTTCATGTTAATTTTATTTTATAAATGCTTATACCTAAACATTTTTCAAAAGATAAAATTATGATCTATTATACGCCTAACTGGGAAGGTGTATGTATGCTAACTTATTATTGAAACTTTTATAAATGTGCTGCCTTAAAAAGTATATAATGGGCTCCGTGTGGTGGCTCACACCAGTAATCACAGCACTTTGGGAGGCCAAGGTGGGTGGATTGCTTGAGGTCAGGAGACTGACCATCAAAGTGAAACTCCATCTCTACTAAAATACAAAAATTAGCCAGGTGTGGTGGTGGACACCTGTAATCCCAGCTACTCAGGAAGCTGAGGCTGGAGAATTGCTTGAACCCAGGAGGTGGAGGTCGCAGTGAGCCAAGATCGTGCCGCTGCACTCCAGCCTGGGTGACAGAGCAAGGCTCTATCTCGAAAAAAAAAAAAAAAAAAAGCAGCATATTATGCTCTAAGTTTATCTAATTAATATATTATTTTAATACTAGTATTAACTGGAAATATATTTTCTTATTTTTTAGCTAATTGGAAATTCTTAGCTATTGTGTTCATGAAATTAATAGCTTTCATAATCATTACAATTATTAAAACACTTTTCTCTTTCAATCAGTCACATATATATCTGTTTCAAACAGAGTAGAATTTCAACATATAAAGCACACAAGAAGATCATTAAAGGTTATACTTAGAATTCTTACCCGATTTTGCATGTGAATATGCATTGTTCATATTACTAATATTGTTGTGTTGACTTCATATGATAAGAACCTGTGAGATCAAATACTAAAGTTTAGGAATTGCAGGACTGATATTGAAGAAGAAAAAAGCTGAAACCGAATAGCTGATTAGGTTGAGAACATCAAGGCTAGAACCAACTTTATACATCTTTAAAATACATTATTTCGACTTAACTATTTCTTTGAGTGCTCATAACTTTGGGATTTTCTATATATTTATACTTTTTATTTCTTTTTCTCTAAATTACATATTCATGTCTCATTTTTTGAGTGACAGCACTCAAGATACACATAGAGATCTTTGGAGACTGGAATAAGCATCTGTCTTTCAATCTCTGGTATAACTCTGTAGACAATGTTAATTGAATCTGGTAAAGAGGGCTGTGATAGAAAAAGCAATTCTGCTAATGGATTAGACATTAGAAAGCTCTGGATCAAAGAATTCTTGTATCATTAAAATGCCAGGGAAAAAGTACTGTGGTTTCTTGAGACAAGTGCCTAGGCTAATTTCTTAAGGATTTGCATTTTGGGGTGGATTGACAAGTTAGCTATTTGAGGTTAAGGTTATCCCTGCATCATTAAAAGAAAAGAACAAGCCCTTGTCTGATAAACCTAAAAACTTGAATTTGATGAATAGAGATGCATAAGATGTTATGCTCTTTGGGATTCTGAAAACCCGATGTAAGTCAGTGTCCATCTGATCACCAGCAATCAGTGGCGGGCAGTGGAAATGCCCTGGGTATAAGGTATTTCTAACCCCTTCTCCCCAACACACACACACACACACACACACACACAATACACACATAACACACACACACACACAAATACCACACACATAACAAACACATACAAAATACACACACAACACACATTGACAACACACACACACAAAAAAAACCACACACATAAACACATACAAAATACACACACAACACACATTCACAACACACACACACAACACACAAAACACACACATACCACAAACACCACAATCACAACACACACACCACACACACACAAAACACACACCACACACACACAACACATACACACAAAACACACACAACACACACAAAACACACACTACACACCACACATACAACACACAACATGCACACACACAACACACAGCTATACCACTGTGTGTTGTTGAAGATAACAGGGTGAACACACACATGCACAACACATACACGCACACACACACAACACACAACATGCACACACAACACACACACAACACAACACACACGCGCACACAACACACAGCTATACCACTTGCCATGATTCCGGCACTGTGGTTCATATAGGTATATAACAAAACAGTGGAGCATATTCCTTGATAAATACCATAAATTCTTTCAGAGCTGAGACTAAAATAGGTAGCTTTGCCTGCCATAGTTAGTAATGTGCTTATTTGGGATATTTGAGAGTGTTGTCTTTTCTCCAGTCGGGTTTTTGAAAACACCTTAGACAAGGAATTCAAATTCAAGAAACGAAGAACTTACTTGGAAGGGAACTAGGTTGAGAAGTTGAGAGACAGGAAGATTGATCTACTTTCATAATTACTGTGCCGGCAGGAGGAATTAGAAGCACCTCTCCACCACATCCCAGTTGGGAACCACTGACGGGAATAATTCCGTTGGAGGTAGCACTTTCCTGAGGTGCAGAGAAAAGCAGTCATGCAAGACCACAGCAGTTCACTTGTCATAATGACAGCCCAAACAGGCTTGCTGGATTTGATTTTTTTAAAAAGTGTCCAGTAAAATTTGGATTTCAGATAAACAGCGAATAATTTTTTAGCATAAATACGTATGCACTTTGACATCCTGCTAGTAAGGATAAAAAATAAATAAAATAAATAAATACACATGTTCCAAGCAAATATTTCTGTTATCCCTGGATCATTCAAGGGAAATACAGCATGGGGCATGCTTATGTTAAGAAATTAATCATTGCTCATATAAAATTCAAATTTAACCATATTTCCTGTATTTTATCTGGCAACCCTAAGCCCCAAATCCCTTTCCCTACTCGTCTTCCATGTAAAAAAGAAAGAATAAAAAAAGAAGACACTTTCATTCAGTAAGAGGAACATGTTGACTCTACAGGTAGGTTTAGGTTTCTATAACTGAAGGAAATATTATTTTATCAATAAGGATTCAGCCTGCATACTTTCTGAAAAAAATACATGTGCTTGAAAATTATTGTCCTTTAGAATATTTAAAAAATAAATACAGATTTTGACAACTGAAACTATATAGATACATATATAGAAAATTTTAATACTCTGCTGCTCACTGTCCTCCTATTCCATATCCTCAAGGTGATCGATATTCATTGTTAATGTGTGCTCATGCATATTTTTGCTATGCTCATACGTTTACGTACTTATGTGTAATTCCTTTTTCATGGAATTATATTACTCTGCAACCTGAGTAATGTGCTTATTATAAGGCCATCTGGTTAAAGGAACTGGAAGATTACAGTTCTACTGCTGGCAATAGCACATTAAGCATCCTTATGCTAACGTTCTCAGCCTTGACCGCAAACAGAAATTCAGTGTCTGCTAGGATTCCCATTCCTCCTGGTATCATCACAGTCCTTCAACCCCATACCATCTAATATAGTAGATGCTAGCCACATGTAGTTGACGAACACTGGAAATGTGGGCTATCCAAATGAAGATGTAAGTGTACAATATACACCAAATTTAGAAGCCTTCGTTGTAAAATAAAGAACTTTAAATCTCACATTAATAATTTTATGTTGATTACCCATTGAGATAATGGTACTTGGGATATATTGGGTTAGATTAAAATGTATTATTAGAAATAATTTCATTTATTTCTTCTTACATTTTAAAATAAGAAAAATGTAAATTATATATGCAATTTGCATTATATTTCTATTGGCAGCACTGTTCTAACCCAAAGGCCTGCAGAATGACGTGAGTTCACCTCAGAGGTACACGAGATGATTCCTTGGGAGTTTGGAAAGAAAATATAACTTCTTTTCTTACTTATTATTTTTATCTTATCAATTTTTAATTTATATTTTTGTGTCTGTTTCATAATGTACATAGTATATCGTCATGGTACTAAGTGTATATATTATTAAAATATTAACATGCATTTATTTGCAGATGTATTAAAAACATTTTTACTGACAGAAGTGTGTGACACAAAATTAAAGCATGTGGTGACCTTGCTTTGCAGGGGTGAGCAGAGGGTATGTTCTCCTGCCTCTCTTACATATTGTTCCCCTTGGTATCTGACCCACCTTTCACACCTTTGTGCTGACTTTATTCATTCTCTTTCCTGAATCATGTCCAAAGGCATCCCAGGGAGGATAAATGAAGCTCTAAGCTTTGCCTTCCTGCTTTCTGGATCTTAGGGTTTGGTGTCCTTGCTCCTTGGGTGCCTAGAACATCCCATCTGGCAAGGTCGGGCTGCACCTGCCTTCCTGATGCACCTTCCTCCCAGAGAGCCTGGTGCCCACCCCAATGCTCCTCGTTCTCCCTCTCACTCTTCTCCAGCACCTCCGGCCTCCCCTCTCCACCAGGTGCGCTGGGCTGCAGAGATTACAAAGGAGAATCAGGTTTGCACTACTTTGATCCTAACAGATAATGAGAAGAAAGAGAAAGAAAAAGCGAGATGAGAGGATAGATTGATTCCAGGGGCTTCGACCATGGGATGATTCGCTCTCAAATCAATTCCCATTGAATTGAAACCAACAGTCTCTCAACCGAGGTTATTGGTATTAGAAAGGAGTTATGGGAGGTGGCTAAACCTATAACACTTTCTTCAAAAGAATGTCTCTTCGATGATTTCTTTTGAAGGTAGTATGTTGTGGCAGCCATGAGAACTATAGGATGGAAATGTGAGTGGTCACGTCACTCCACAGGGAAAATAATAGCAGGGTGTAGCTTTTAAAAGCGCTTGCACCCACTCACCACTGGCACAGGTCCTTGGACACACATGCACACGCGTGCCCACACGCACCTGCCCATACCCCTTGCCATGCCCACGCTCCTTGCCGTGCCCCCTGAAATTCATTCCTCCTGCAACTGAAACTTGCCTTTGCTTGTGATCATTCACACCCCTCTCTGCATTCCTGTGCCCACTCAATTCCTCACTCTTATGCTCAGAAAACATTTACTGACTAAGGGCCTGTTCCAGGAAACGCACCGAAGTTTGAGGATAATCAAGTCTCACGGCCACATTCAGAAAATTCTGGCTGAAGTGTTTTAAGTTGAATCATGAAATTGCTAATATTGAACAGCTTCTGACCGTTAAAATGAGCACTTCATATAGTGAAGCTTAATTTTGTACATGCATACACACACATATTTGGGATTCATATCACTATAGAAAAGTGGTCAAAAACACAAATTCTGGCACCACATTTATTATTTATTAGTTTTCAAAACTTAAGTAAGTTTTAACTTAACTCATCTGAATCTCATTTTCTTCTTATGAAAGTGGAGAACATAATGGGCTCTACTTCATGGAGTCATTGTGAGGATCAAATCCTTAATCTTTATAAAGCATTTAATACCTACTGCCCAGCACATAGTAAGTGCTCAATAAACATTAGCTGTAGCAGTGGCTGCAGTAACAGCTAACATTTATTATCATTATTAGTGGGTGGTAGCATCACTATTGTCTGTGGAAGTCCATGTACAGTATTCCTATTTGCAAGATGATAAAATAGACCTGCTCAAGTGAGAGAAAAAGCTCTTACTGACTCTCTCAGCCAGGAAAGCCATCATCTTATCAATAATGGAAATGGAATACTTTATCAGAACGGTAGAAATTCAGCAAAAGTTCTTAAAACAACTAGGAACTTTAGCGTTTGACATTCGAATAGAGAATAACAAAAAGGCAGTGGGGAAGTACCCAGACAGTGTGAGGGACGCAAGAGGGGAAGCAGCAGGTGGCCGTGCTGGCTGCCTTTCACTTTGGGCAGTGGGTTTGCATCTAGAGACCTGACTATTCCGAGTGAAAGCCAACGGCTGAGTACCCTTGTGAGGAGTTCGGGTTAAGTTTCATGTTTGTGCAGGAAAGATTTCAAGGGCAACGTGGCCACAAGGACTGATGGACAGATAGATAGACATGTCTGGATTTATGACTAAGCAGCTGACCAGGGCCAACACGCTAGTGAGGACACACAGTTGACTTAACACAGGCTGCTGGTATCCACAGCTGGAAGTTGAAGAAATTGTTGGTGTTATTAACAATCTTCTGGCAGGAGGATGGCACTTGTGTCCTGGCTGTGCCGACACAGCTCAGATTCTCTGGTGTGGATTACAGGAGCACATCCATCCCGGCCCCACAGACAAGCTGGAGGCCAAGAGTCCCTTCCCTTGTCCTCACGGGAGGCCACCACAGTCAGCCTGGACAGCCACTTCAACAACCAACGGACCCGTTTACAAAAGAGTGAAACAAACTAAAATCAAATAGGGGTCACACTAGATTGGCTGGTGGAGCCAAAGGGTTTGATTTAGAGGTGCCAGAAAGGAGCATGAAGCCAAAGGGAGATCAGGGCCTTGGGTGCAGAAAGGGGCGAAATCAAATCTCACCTTTAGCCATTAATATCAGTGTGACACAGGCCAATCCTCTTACCTGTGGGGCCTCAGTTTCCCCATCTGAGAAATGGTGATGAAAATCTGCCTCGTAGGACTATCGTGAGATTGGAGGGAAATCCTGACCGTGACTTGCCCAGTGCACCTTAGTTCATTTTCCTCCTCTCTGTATGTAGTAAGTCACTCCAGAAAAGAGCTGACAATTCTGGCCCTGACAGGCGCAGCAGCCAGCCCAACCTTGAGAAGCAGTTCCCCCACCCTCTCTCCCTCACTCTGTCCTCCCCTCCTGGCTTTTTCCCAGAAGGCTCCAGGGCTCCCAGGCCAACTGCCAAACCACAGGACTCTGCGATTGGCTTTCATAGACCCCCACCCCTTCCCCTCTTCAACTACATCTCTGCGTGGCAGTCCCGCTCTGGACTCCCTCCCTGGAGGGTAAGACTCGTGGCTGCCCCAGCCTGCTATGCCAGCATTTGCAGGGGGATTCATCTGAAACCACTACTGACAATCTGTGTTTATTTGGGGCGTGCAGAGGAGCCAAGGGCTATGAAAGGAGCTGCGTTCCAGAACTCTCTGGTTCCCATCAGGCTGCGCAGATCAGACCCTATACCTAACAGGAGAGTTAGGCTTTCTCTTTCCATTCCTTCAAATAGGGGGCCGCACACTGGTTGCAGTTCCACCAGTTGCAGTCTGCAGTTCCTCTTTTTGCTCGCTGCCAATACATCCCAATCCTGTGCCTTATCAAAGGCAAGAACTATTAGAGAAATGATGACGGGAATTGAGGATGCCAAATTTTATACATCTGTAATTGTAGGGGATAGCAAGACTTCTTTATTTTGCACTGTTTAATATTTCAACTTTGTATGGAAATATACAGAGAAAAGTGCACAAATTGTAAACTGACAGCTGGGATTGGATGGCAGGAAGAAATTGACACTAGGACTGGATTCCAGACCCTTTAGCTGGACCATGTAGCCTCTTAGGGCACGATAACTGAGAACATTCTTTAGGAACCTTGTTAGCGTATTTATGACAACCAGGGGTGACCTGGAGCCAGCTTGCACTAGCTCAGAAGAGCCTATTTTTCCATCTCTTCCCAACCCCTCATCAGTGACCTCACATTGGTGCTTGAAATCAGGGTCGAAGTGGGTATTTACACCACAGAAATCAGCAGATGATAAGTAGGACAGCTCACCCCCTTCCCCTGACAGTTTTTAACCGCTTACTAACAAACCACTGTTTACAACTTTCCTAACATGGGTGAACAAAATTTGAGTACCTTTCCGACTAACTCCAGTTTAGTCAATCCCTACTCCCTTTCTCAGAAAATCTCCCTTTCCCATTATCCTGCCCTGAGAGTACAGAGCCTTTGCAATCTTCCTTCTGGACACTGTCGTGCGTTTGACAACTGCTGCACCTCAGCCTTTTCTCCTCTCCTCTGCTTTTTGTTAAGTGATTTCTGTTCTTCAGTGTGTGTAAGTGACTCCCCAGAGACATATCCAGGTGGTCGATGTGCAAAGCCCAGCACTTCCTGGAAAGAAACCTCTGCTCCAGGGCTAACAGGGAGGCCTCCCAGAGCCTCCATGACCCCCTTGGATTGCAGACACTGTCCAACTGTCCTTCTGTCAGCTGGCTTCCCCTAACGCCATGCCTTTCTCAATTTATTGCATTTTCAGCCTGACTGAAGTCTGCCCTGGGGACAAATCGCAAAACCTATAACCTAAGGACAGCAAGGTAAGGAGAGCCAATGCACAGCCCCTTCACTTCTCTGGCCCCTCAGTCCCCTCCTGTCTTAATTGGGCAGTGTGGGTCAAACGCTGCACACGTCCCTTCTGACTCCGCACACAGTGTTCTTTCTACAGCTTGGCTGTACAGAGAGTTCTATTTTTCACCCCCATGAGAGGGGGTGGGGCAAAACACTGAAGGAATCTTTCAAAGACCCTCCACCTGACCCCTGTCTGAACAAATAATTAATCTCCTGAAAAAGCAGCTCGCTGATGGGTCCAGGCTGTGCCTGTGGATTTATGAGGTGACGTCAGTTTGAAGACTGGGATGCAGAGCCTGAGCTGTGTTTCACACACTCCTCAATTGTTTTAACGGGCCCGCTCCTGAAGGCCTCCAAATCTTTCCCCAAGCTAAGCTTTATTAAAATGGCAAAGATGGAGAGGAGTGCTTTTCCAGATAAATCAGCTTACTTATGCTCTGCTCCCTCCCCTCCCCCTGTCTACTGGAAAGCACTCCCAGAGGGAAGGAAATGAAGAACTGCAAAGTACTTGCAGGTACATGCTTAATGCCTTAAACTCTTGCATTGTGTTAACAGCTATTCACAGACTGGGCTTTAAAGAAATAGATGGATTCTCAATCTGCCCAATTTAAATAATCCTTAAGAGAGAACTAAGGAGGAAGATTAATGTCCTTAGTAACTAAATGACACACCAGAGTTTAGCCTGGAGGCTGGGTCTCTTCACTGACTATCACAGTGCAATTCCTTGAGAGGATCCAGATAAAACTGGGTTTAAAATGAAGGTGGGGGGCGTTCATGGGGAGAAAAAGGGTTAGAAGTCAGAGTGAAAGAAGGGAGGGGTGGATGTGAGCAAGCAGGGATGGAGGCAAAGCTTTTGTCCTAGAGACAAAAGTAAAGGGAGAGTGAAGGAGTAGAAGAAAATATATTTCTACTCTTGATTGATCATATGTATCACGTGTCTCTCTCAATACATACACGGATATAATATGCATACACACATATAGTCTCTGACACATACACAGACATAGTCTGTTTATAGACTGCATGCATACGTGTCTAAGACTTGAGAAATTTAAAGTCAGAGGCCACTTTTATTTAGAATTTCAGAAATATGTATTATTGATTGAAATGAAAGACCTTAAAGATCTGAACTGTTAATATCTAATTTATGGGAACAAGATAAAATCAATTGTTGCAACTTAGCATGATTTTTGAGAGATGGTGATGGTAGAGAATCACTTCAGGAAAAGGGAGAGGATTTAGTTGACAAGTGGGAGAAAGAAAGGGTATCCTCTGTGTGGCTTCTATGCATGTGTGTTGGGCAAATCTGCAGTAAGGAAGCAGCCAGTGAGGGAATGGAGAAAGCCTAGGAAATGATCAACGCAACACAATCCCCTGATCCAATCAACCCTCCTGTATTTATCTTGGTACTATATGAGACTGGTCAACCCAGCTGAATTAGTGACTAAATTTCATTACCTCTATTTAGGCCAAATTAAATTTAAATTCAATCACTTTTGATTCTGAGGTCTGTCTCTTTTTACTCTTTCCCATTCTTGTGGCAGTTACTATGTAGTCAAAACCAAGTAGGACAGATAAAGAGAGCTCCAGGACTAGAAAGCAAAAAGGTTGTGAGGATAATTTGAATGGGACTTGTGTCACCTTATTGGTTGCAGGGTGGATTCCCTGATGGCCTGACCAACTGCTTTGACTGCCCTCTTTGTCCTCACCATGCCATAGGCCCTCGCTGGTGCTTTCCTCAAGGTCAAAAAGGACAATCTTCCAAGACAGAGAAAGGCCAGCCTCTGTGAAGTCCTTTAGCGCAGAGGCCATAATATCTACCACTTTCCACAGTGTTTGGCTCAGTATGACTTTTAAGAAGCCATTTACAGAATTAGAAGTATTTCCACTATGTGGAATACAGAGCATATAAGGCCTGCCTTCTAGAATCTTGTAACCTAAATAAGATTGGATTTATACTAAGAGAGAAGCAACTAAAATAGCATATAATAAATGCATTTTTTACATTGTATCCTAACACCACATACCAGCCCTAGTCAGAGATGTGGAGAAAGTGACTTCCTGTAGATAACTGAGACTCCACTGTGGTAGAACAGGGAAGGTGTACATTGAGTCAGGGTGGGTACAGGCCTTTTAGAATTGGCTGAAATTTGAGGAGTCCGTGTCAAACGTTGAGAAGAAGATAAATCAAATAGGATCTTGGTGGATAGAATCAGATTTTCTCTCTTCAGCCCAAAGTCTACATCAACACAGACTTAAGGCATCCCTTGAAAACAAAATTTCACATGGTGTCTGGTTATGTTCTTGGTCCAGGCTCTATATTTGTACTTCAACAGCCCTTTCCCTCCACCCCTGCGTGTGGGGTTACAAAGGAAAGCACCGTAGATGCCTTCAAAGAACTTAGGGCTTAGTGTGAAGACGGATGCAAAACTAGTGTCTTGAGAAGTGACTCAGTAAGATAGTTGAATTGTATGTACCAGAGGAATATGGTAGAAGAAATAAATCAGTCTGCCTGCACACATTAGGAAAGGCTTTAAGAGATACCTTGCCTAAACCAAGACTTGAAGGAATTTTTTGTAGATTAGGTAGCGAAGTACTGTCCTGGTAGAAGAAACTGTGAAGACACAGAGGGGTGGGAGTGTCTGATACCATTGGGACAATTGCAAGTGTCGAAAATGAAAATAAGAAGTAAATAACCGCATGAGGGGAAAAGGTGCTTGATTACAAATGCCTTCTGAGTCATGCAAAGAGTACATATTTTTATGCTATAGCGTAGGGAATAAGGAGTCATTGGGAATTCTTCATCGAGACAGAAGGGATGCATGTATCTCACTCCAGCGGCTTCCTTCATAGTCTTCTTTCCAATGGTTGTTTCCGCCTTTCTTACCAATGTGGCTGATGGTGAGTGCCTTCTACAAATGCTACCTCTTGACCCCTTGGGGAGAAGGAATTCTTATCAGTTGCCGGATTTGGAGAGACCAAGTCCCAGCTTATTCTTTTCCAACAGAGTTTTCCTTGCTTCATGGTGTCACAACCTATTGTTACTGGGTGCTAGGATACATTGGCCATATCTCTTGGGTGGAGAGCAGGGGAGACAAAACCTTCCAAAGCAGCATAAACTCAGCTTCATTCTGTGGTATCCATTTGACCCAAAGAAATCCCATGTCTCCATGCAAAGATAAGAGGAGGGAATGTTACCCTTTCCTATCAAGTTGTCTTTTTTCCTGCTGGAAGTGAGAAGGGGTGGGGGCTGTTGAGGGGAAAATGCATGCAGGAAAGCTCATCAGATTCACCAAGTGTGTAACTCAAGCAAACCTCTAATGAGGGAATGGGATTCCAGTGTTCACTTCTTGGAGCATCTGCAGTCTCTAAAAGTGATTATCTTGGTTGACCGTCACTTGGTGTAGACAAGAGAAATATACTTTGTTCCCCACTTGGCCTGCAAGCCATCAGTCTGATGATTCTCCCCACCACTCTACCCTTATCTTCTGTTTATATAGAACTGGGCTCAGGCAGGAGAGAAGGACCCTTCTTAGAGTATTGATGGTGAGGGGGCTAGTTGTGAGACCACAGGAAAAGTTCCACTGAGCATCCTGTCTCAGAATAGCAACTTTAGAGGCGGTGTAGAAAATGGATGGAACCCTGTTAGGAGGCTATAGCCATAGTCCACTGAGACATGATGGGAACAAGGCTAAGAAAGAGAGGAAAGAAAGTTAGGAAGTAGATTTGAAAGTGAAAATGATAGAGAAATATAGGAGGGTGAGAAAAAGAGGTATGTCTAAGATATTTAAACTTTTATTTCAGGAAGAGATTTCATGATGGTGTTAATCACTGAGATGAGAAATCTGAGGCTGGGAGTGTTAGGGGCAGAGTGGAGGAAGAGGCAAGGGAATGAAGAGAAGAGAGTTCAGTTTGGGGCATATTACAGTGGAGCTGCATGAGATAAAGTCTGGGCAGAAAGAGCTACATAGTCCTTCATATAGAAATATGAAAAAATAGAAAA